AAGGGAGAAATGAAGAGATAAAAGATAAGAGGGAAAAGGATAGAATAATAAGAAAAAAGACAAGAGGAGACTAGAGATAAGCAAAGGAAAGATAGCGGAAGAGAGGGAGAGAGAAAAAGCAAGACGAAAGAGAAAAGATACAAAAGACACGAGAAAAGGAAAGGCAAGAGAGAGGGGGAGGAGAGGAATAATCAAAAGAGAAGAGGGAAAAGAGATGAGACAAAATACAAAAGAGAGGAAAAAGAAAGAGAAGGAAGGGGAGAGAGAGGAAGAGAAAAAAGAGAAGAGGGAAGAGAGAAGAGACAAAGAGGAGAGAAAAGAGAGGAAAGGCGAGAGAGGAATAGAAAAAAGAGAAAAGGGAAGAAGGAAGAGAGATGAAACAAAAGAGAGGAAAAAGCAAGAAAAGGAAGGGGAGAGAGGGCGAGAGAGGAAGAGAAAAGAAAAGAAAAGAGGGAAGAGCAAAGAGAGAACAGGAGAGACAAGAGACAAGAAAGAGGAATAGGAAAGTCACAGGGAGGGAGGAAAGGAAAGAGAAGTGTATATGCGTATTTTATACATATATACGTCTGTGCATATGTATGAATCCATATATATGTGTATATGCATATAAATATTCTACAGTGCATTAAGCTCGGGCATTGTTGATATAATGCACAAATAAATAAACTCAACATGTGCATTGCAAACTGATTAGGGAAACCCAGCTTACACAGTTAAGGAACACTCATTTTCTCCCTCATTTTTCTTTCTCTTTTTATCTGGATCCATCCGTTTGAAGGTTAGACGAAAAGTCATTTCAACTGTAGTATTTTATTTATTTTTTTTTTTTTTTTGAGTTATCGCTGCTTAAACTGCAAAACTTTAAATGCATTTTCACAGCGAAATTAGGTCAGTGGACCTTGTGTTCTACTTTCTTCACCTCTGACCTTTGATGGCTCATTCTTGCTCGTATTACATCATAATCTAGGCTTATGAGGTAAAGTATCTCTGCTGTTGCATTTTTGTTGACATGTAATCTTTGTCTAAAGCTGTTATTTTGGGTTTACATTTTTTGTTGTATAATCTCCCACCTCGCTATTTTCTGACACACACACACACACACAACACACACACACACACATACACAAATACACACAGAAACACACACACACACACACACAAATACACACAGCACAGAAACCACACACGCACACACGCACACACACACACACAAATACACACAAACCCTCACCACACACACAACACACACACACACATACACACACAAACTCGCACACACACACACACACTTTTTACAAGTTTTGACATCCTTTCTCCAACTTTCTAAACTACTTAAACCTCAAATGGTCTTTTTTCCAATTTTTTGTTTGAAATTAATGTTTATCTTCTGCAATAAAAACAGAGACTTCGTTTTCATAATGATTTTTAACAAGAAACTTTTTTTCATTCACTTTGCAAGTCTTCAGCCCCTTGCTTTGGGCGATTCTGCCTTGTGTGCACTTTCGCTCGTTATATCAAGGCTTTATTCACTCTGTCTCTCCCTCTCGCTTTTTCTTTCTCAGTCTCTCTCTCTCTCTGATGTTTCTTTCTGTCTGTCTTCTTCTCTCTCTCTCTCTCTCTCTCTCTCTCTGGCTATTTCTTTCTGTCTTTGTCTATGTCTGTCTCTCTTCTCGTCTCTCTCTCTCTCTCTGTTCTCTATCTCTGTCTCTGTCTCTGTCTCTGTCTCTGTCTGTCTCTGTCTCTCTCTCTCTCCTATCTAGCAACTAATCAATCCACATTTTTATTTTGTTTCGCCTATCTTTCTTTATATTTAAACTGAACAAAACTACAAGAAACAAAAAGAGAGAGAGAGAGAGAGAGAGAGAGAGAGAGAGAGAGAGAGAGAGAGAGAGAGAGAGAGAGAGAGAGAGAGAGAGAGAGAGAGAGAGAGAGACAGGCAGACAGACAGACAGACAGATAGACAGACAGACAGATAGATAGATATAGATTGATAGATGGACAGATAGAGAGGGAGAGAAAAAGAGAGCGAGCGCAACTGAAAGGAGAGAGAGTGAGGTCAGATAACTCGATTGTTGACTAGTTAGGGAGTTTAATATTCAAACTGTTAAGCAATTGAGAAGTTAACAGAACATCTGAGTTACTACGTTCTCTGGCAGGACGAAGCACCTGGAAATATGGAGAAAAAACAGACTTACTTTGAACCATGTCGATGATGCAGCCAAATTAACGCACTTCATTTCATACGCAATTTCCTTTTTCCTTTTTTTTTTATATTTTCACCCTTCCTAAATGTGCGATTTGGGAAAAAAATAGATTTCTGCTATTTCTTTCTGAAAGATATATCACTCACTCGTGCATGCAAATCCTGTTAATTGAAAATCTGCACGGGAGTTTGTGGCGAATAATCTATACAGCGACAGATGTAAAACGGATTTGCCATTTAATATCGTCATATTCAAATGAGAATAAACCGGGTTGAGAACCACAGGATGTATTGGCAGCTGGGGAGTGGAAAACTGCAACACAAATGCATGGGAAACACATGGAAAGCAGTAAAATATATGCATGAATAATAACTAAAACAATGACATGAAAAACACCATACAAATACACGATAAACAGATTGGACAAAAAATATCAACACAAATCCATGGAAAACAATAACCCAGACTAACAGAAAACGGAAACACATATCAAATGAAAACGGCAACACACATGCATGGAAAACAGAAACACAAACTAGCAGAAAATAGCAAAACAAATCTATGGAAAGCAAATTGACAGAGAAAAAGCAACACTGATCCATGGAAAATGACAACCCAAATACACAAAATAATAGAATTTATTTTGTTGAAGTACCGTGTAAACGAAGGGGAGATGTGTGTGTATCAAAATCTAATACACTTTTGTAGGCTTCATTATTTTTGCTTCTACTCGTTTATTTATTTATTTATTTATTCATTTTTTGCAAAATGTGAAAATTGTTTATCAAATGAAAAATAGGAACTTATAGTAATAATTATAATAGATATTGATGAATTACATAAAATATGAAATAATAATACAAAAGAAATGAGACAAAGAAAAAAAAAAAGAAAAAGAAAATCAAAGAAAAAAAATATATTATTACTTTGAAGCTTTGAGCTTCCTTATGAAAGCCAAAACAAAACACACTTATTCGAGGATAAAACACACTACTAAAGCCAAGGGCATAACGGCCTTGTTTATTCCTGCGACATGGACCCAACTTTATATTTTTAGGGCCATTGAAGATCAGCGAATAAAGTAAAGGAAAATGTTTTAGTTAATGTGAATTCGAGGGAGAAAATGATATAGAAATAAGTAATATAATACGTAGATTGGAAGGTAACCGTTTAGAATTCAGAATAAATAGGTAATGAATTGGGAGAGTAAAGAGAGGGTGACTTAATAAAAGATTTACTGAGGAGTTTCAATTCTTTTATCATGAGATGTAGGGAGAAAGATTGGTGATAATAGGAACTTTAAGACCAAACGACCGTCATAATATTTATATAATAGTTTTACTGATAATTACGTAAATGAATATGTAATGGAAGTATCGAAAAGATTAAACGAATAATAAGAAATTAAGCATAACTATGATCAGGTCTTTCACTACCACATGCAACCCCCCCCTCCTCCTCCCATCACCTTATTTTTTTTTATTTGCCAACTAATATTTAGTGTTGAGTAATTCATCTATAAGTCACATAAGTCAACATGTCATGGCGTAAGTATATGAACAACAATTAAATAACAAGGATTATATTTCCTTTCTTATAAAATATTTAGTTCCTGGCGGATACAAATATTACTGAATGATATTTATAAAAATATTGTTCCTTATATAGTGGTTAACATCTGACGTAAATGAATTCAGTTCAGTTGAATTACAGCAAACGTGAAAATTACCTTATATACCCTATAAAAATTATTGGCTGTCTAAATATTGTAGGATCTAGTGATAATAGCAGCACAACTAGTGACAATGACAGTAACAACTAGTAACAGTGACAGTAATGACAGTAAAATCAGTACCAAAAATGCCTATTTCTTCATTCCACTTAAATGAAATTCGACTTTACCATTGTATCTTTTCTATCTGCTCTTCCTACTCTTATTAATGAATTTCCTCTTCTCTTTAATTATTACAATTAGGTTTTCATTCCCACGCTTTGCACTTATTCAAAAACAGACATTTTGAATCGGCTTTCCATCACTGGCAAGACATAAATAACATGATTGCTGTTTTACTAATAACCTTAAACTACCGTACAATTATATGATCATTTGTATCCAGGGGAGAGAAATTACTTTACTCGTGAATCTATTATTTGGTTAATAATATCAATACTTTGCTGTTGTCGTTGCAGTTATCATTATTATTATTATTATTATTATTATTATTATTATTATTATTATTATTATTATCATCATCATCATTATAACTATATTCATCATTATTATTATGATCATAATTATTATTGTTATTGTAGTTTTTGGTATGATCATTATTATTAGTAGTAGTACCTATCTTTGTAACAATAGTATCATTATTATCCATACTGTTTTAATAAATTCCATCATTACATCAGGTTTTAATGTTGACTAGAGGTCGATTTTCAGGCCGCTCCCAGTGAGGAAATCAACGATCTACTTTCAGACAAACGATGAGTCTATTGCTTTCCTGATATAGTTATTGTTGTTGTTGTTGTTGTTATTTTATTATTATTATTATCATCATCATTGTCCTCCTCCTCCTCCTCCTCCTCCTCATCATCATCAATCATCAATCATCATCATCATCATCATCATCATCATCATCAATCATCATCATCATCATCACCATCACCATCAACACCACCACGAAGACCACCACCATTATTACTGTTCTACTAAAATCAGTGCTACTGTTTCCTTCATAAGATTTTTTCCGCCAATGGTTTAAAGAGCATAGCTACTAAAATTGACTCTTCATG